TGTAAGTATGTTTATATATACATATATACATTTATATATATATATATATGTGTGTGCGTGGGTGCGTGGGTGTGCGTGCGTGGGTGTGCGTGTTGGAATATATATATATATATGTCTGTGTCTGTGTCTGTGTCTGTGTCTGTGTGAGTTTATGATTATATATATATATATATATGAATATACTTGCATATATATTATATATATATATATACATATGTATTTATGTATGTTTATAGATAAATATATATTATGTATGTACATATATCTATATATATCTATTTATATAGATATGAATGTTTACGTTTTATGTGTTTTTATTTATATATATATATATATATATATATATATATTTATTTTCTTATACTTGTTATGTATACATACTTGCATGTATGTATGTTGTTTATTATATATATATATATATATGTGTGTGTGTGTGTATGTGCGTATTTGTGTGTGTGTGTGTGTATTTGTGTGTGTGTTTGTGTTTGTGTGTGTGTGTGTGTGTATATATGTTTTCAAGAATATGTAGTGTTAGTATGTGATTCCGATACCTTTGCAATATTTATTATAAATAGGTGTAGAAGGATGTACTTGTAATTCTGATTACACACACGCTTTTCCACAGCCCAATCAATGCACCACCCATGTATTGGACCCGTGATTTTTATACTTACGTGATGGATCACTGACAATTGATATAACACATTTGCCTAGTCGTCTTGTCTGTATCCGGATCGATAGAAAGCTTAATCTTGTATTTGGCTCGATGCACATGGTGCCATGTAAATAACAATGTCTCCGCATCGAAATAATCGCAGATAATGTTTATGGCTCGCTTTTATTCTATAGTGGTATGCGTCAGGCACCTTGCTTTTCTCGTTGCCATGCCAACCACCTGCTCCATGTGGAGTGCTATATCGACTATTTCACGCTATTTATCTTTCTTGCGGCTTCAATTACTACAGAGAGTATATTAATGAGGATCTTGTGGAAGTTGCCAAAGCAAATCCCGCAGTAGCCTTTGAAGTCAGACACCGGTCATTCAAGCACGGCTACCTCAAAGGCACATACGGTGAGTGATTGCGATTGCGCATGTACTTGTAGTATCACCTGGTTGCTATGTTCATCCCGACGGTTCCGAGTTTGTTCCATTTGTTTGCGTGAGTGTGTATCAGGGATCGGGTGTAGTTTAACGCATAATTGAGTGCGCGTAAGCACAGGTCACCTGCCTTTAGTGTAGTGTAGCTGCGTGTGTGGACTGATTTTCAGAACAGAGCCGGTCATAACCAATTGTGTACATACGGTTATAGGCAGATGCAAACCTAAACGCATATTTGAGTGCGCGTATTCATAAGTCACCTGTCTTTGTTGTAAAGTGGCTGCGTGTGTGTACTGATTTTCAGTTCAGAGTCGGTCATAGCCAATTGTGTACATATGTTTATAGTAGATGCAATACCGCTATGGCTGTCATACGTGCACACACGGCGCCAGTTCTTCGCCCTTGTGTTGTGATTTTGACACCATCGAGTATCTTTCATGGGTAAGATATGTGTGCAATCCGTACATTAGGGTTGTGTATTCCTTACCCACCTGTAGGCTGCTTATATGACATGCTGTGCTGGCAGCATCTCATGCTGAAGTCAGTAGCTGACATTGGATACCTACATCGCATAACAGCCAATCAGTATATAAAGGACGTTCCAGCCAGGAATGAAACACGCGCCGAGATAGGCAAGCGCGTCAAAGGGCTATTGACACAAGTGGGCGCCAAAAATAGGAAGCTAACGAAATGGTGGGAGACCAAAAACCCGTCAATTCAGGTGCGTCAAGTCTCTGGCCGGAAATTACAGATCGGTTGTTGCAATAGTCCCATTAGTCATAATTTAAGTGCTTGTTATTGCGCACAATTGGGAAATGGGTGTATACATTTTTCGGGTGGAGGTGTTCTATGCATGGGCACTCGTCAGTGTCCATGCACTCTTTGATTTCGTGTCTGCGTGTCTGCCAAAATACTAAGCGTGTTCCATACTCGCGCCATCATATCGGTGCGTCTTCTGTACCTGAGCTGCGCTACGCAAGTTGCTGTGCGAATGAAGTGTTTGTTTTGATTGTCAGGCATATTAGTAAGTGTGTGCTTGTACCGGGTGTGCGCCTGGGTTCAGGTTTACTTGGTATACGATTGTACAATTGGTTGCTCCGCTGTATGTTGTGCTGACCCACTGGTCATACTTTCTCAAACATATCTGATCATGTAGTAGTGGACCGAACTGCACGGTATACTAAAACGATGCAACGTTGATTGATGCAGTAATTGGTCGTCCAAAGTCTATGTAGATTTCCTTTTTCAGATTCGTACTTTTTCGCGTGGTGAAAGTGTATACTACAATCCATCGATCTTTAATCAGCACTCGCGCTATCTTGCCCGTTACTGCTTGTTGGTGCTCTATTCTAACAAGATTTGTCGTATTGGTTCATCACAGGGAGAATGGAATCCTTTCGTCGATATGGAGAAGGTCAACTAATGTAGATATGGTGATGGCGACAGTGGAGTGGCAAGTATAGGCTCGGTCAAACAAATTTAGCGACAGGCGATCTCAAACCGAATAAAGTAGTGCACTGACTGGCAAACATCGGAGGTAGCTTTGTTCACGTGTTGGATTGGACACTGAATTGGATCCTACAAGGCTGTGGGCGTGCACAGTGTACTACTGGTCGTATACATAAGATGAATGTACAGGCAAAACGTATATACCATTAGTTTCTGTATAGTATAACTATATAGCATTAGTTCTGTCTAGTAGAAATATACATCAAAGGTTTATGTGTAGTAGAAATATATACCAATAGTTTCTGTATAGTAGAAACATATATCATTAGTTTCTGTATAGTAGAAACATATATCATTAGTTTATGTATAGTAAAGATATATATCATTAATTCTGTTGATTAGAAATGCATCTCATTGATTCTGCATAGTAGAGACATATACTATTAGTTTCTGTACAGTAGAGATATATATGATTTTCTGTGTAGTTGAAATAGATACTACCAGTTTTTGTATAGTTT